GAACCCGAAGATTTTTAAGGTAATTTCATCAATGTATGATCAATTAAAATCGTGTGTTCAAACAGATAAATTGTCCTTACCAAATTACTTTGATTGCACAGTTGGAACAAGACAAGGTTGTATGATCAGTCCAATATTATTTACCTTTTTCTTAAATGAATTACTAGAGATGTTAAATGATGACGAATGTAAGGGTATATAATTATGTAAATGAAGATGTTCAGAATATTTCATCACTTTTGTATGCAGATATGACAGCACTGGCAGACACTGTAGGTAGGTTGCAAAAACAAATAGATTGCATTAGTAAATTTTGTCAGAAATATAGAATGAAAATTAATATGGCCAAAACCAAAGTAATAGTATTTAGTCGAGGAAAGTAAAGTATAATGAAAAATGGTACTATCAAGGGGAGGCAATTGAAAGTGTTTCCATGTATAAGTATTTGGGTCTAATGATAGACTTAAGTGGGGTAAAACTTGTGATCATTTAGCATTCCAGGGCGAAAAAGCCATGAATTCTTTGTTCAACTTTTGTAACAAGAATAATGTAAGTGTAAAAGATTGTTTATATTTGTTTGACAGAATGATAACACCTATATTAACATATGGCTCCAGTATATTGGGGTACACTAATTATGTTATTCTTGAAAGAGTGCATATTAAGTTTTGCAGAAAACTACTTGCTGTTAGTACAACAACCAGTAGAGCAGTTATCTATGGTGAACTAGGTAGACATCCTTTACACCTACTATTTAAGTTTAATGTAATTAAGTATTGGCTTCAAGTTTTACAAATGCCATCATATAGATATCCAAAGGCTTGTTATGAAATGCAATATAATTTACTCAATGCTGGAAGAGTTAATTGGACAACCTATGTAAAGGAAATATTAGACAATACAGGCGTTTTTATCAAGTCTGAAGGCAAGACTATCTGATATCTGGCACCAAGATTGGCATAGCCAAATCGAATCAAATGGAAAACTAGAATTGTATGAACAAATTAAAATTACTTTGACATGCGAACAATATTTAAGTAGCATCAATAGTAAATGTTTCAGGAATACTTTGTCTCGATTTAGATGTGGATGTCATAAATTAGCGATTGAAACTGGACGCTGGAAAGCAATTGATAGAAATGATAGGAAATGTGAATTTTGTTACAAACACTCTAATAGCAAGGTGATAGAAGTAAGCTAATTTTCAGTACAAATGATTATAGAATTCTTATGAATGATGCTAACCAGAATTTAAATCTTGCTGAATTTATTTATAGAGCTTCAAGAATTAGGGAAAACTTTGTTAAATCTCAATTATGAAATTTACTAAATCTATATGTAAAAATTTGACTATGTAATATGTATTTAAATACATATATTTATTTTTATATTTATATTTATATATGTTTAATCATATGTACTATGGGCTATAGGCCTGCTACTGTATTATTAATAAAAAAAAAAAGAAAAAAAAGAATACATGATAATTCATTAGAAACATCAATTAATCAAATAGTTTGCATAATTTGACACTCAAAAATAAAGAAACTCATCTTTAAATAAGAAATACCAGCTGTAAATGGGTATTTATATTCCTGAGAAGATCAGCTGGTAGAAAGGATCCTCGTGAAGACATGAACCTTTATCATTACCCTTGTAAATGTTTGTTTCTTTCTTACATCTGTAACTAGCTGAGACTCTTCCAATTCTTTTTCATAAGGAATGATACACAGATGACATGAAATTTGTTAATGTCTAAGCTTACATCGGGCAATTTAGTTAAGATAGCTTGACAGGCAAGGTAACATACGCCCACTATCAGCTGTCAGAAAGGACAGAAAATCTTATAATGAACTTTCAATTCATCTTAAGATTATTTATAAGTCAAAGCGAAAACTCAAAAGCAGTTACATCAAATTATCATCAAATTCAAACATAAACAATGTCTGATCGACGCACACACAACGGCAATAACTCTGAAAACATTCATCTGATTGTTACCAATTTCTCACTCGACTGAGATCTAATCAAAATATACC